ATTATTATTATTATTATTATTATTATTATTATTATTATTATTATTATAATGCGATAAATGATACGACTATGAGTATGAATGTTTAATTGCAGTTCCTCTTTCTAACGCTGAAGTACAATAATGTGTTAAAAGTTGCCTGCATGTGGTGCGTGGTGACAAGATATGTTATTTAAGGGTCTATAACTACGTCAGCTTGAATTAAATTTTTTTCCGTACTAATACGGTTCATTTTGCATAGGTCATTGGCTTTATTTCAGAATTTATTTTTTTTAAAACAAAATTAGTCATTTCAAAAATGTATATAGTACAGTATACGTGTTCTGCTAAGTTCAGTATATTAAAAAAATATCATGGTATGCGTAATTGTACCTGTTAAATACAGGGGTTTTCTAGTAAAATTTCGAGGTAAGTTTGTGTTTTTTTTTCTATCGGTTTTCACAACGAGTGTGTATCCTCAATTTTAATATAATATTTTTTCCAAACTGATTGATTCAACACTTTGACCGTTATGCGGAGACAAACAAAGCCATTTGAGGTTGTACAGACTTTTAAGATTTTTTTTACTGAACCAATACGGTCAGTATAAAGAGTTTTCCAAGATGAGTTTTTACTTTAATATCGCACCCTGGATGTAATAAGGCCACAACTGCAAAATGACAACTTTTCAGGAGACAGGTTTAAAAGTTCTATGAATTAAATTAGTCGAGAACTTTTTAGTGCTCAAATAGGAGAGTAAGAATTTGCAAAAGTCCCAGCTGAGTGATAAGCTTCATAAGAATCTCACAGGTGTGAAAAAGCCCAAAAAAACCCAATGCAAAGATCTGTAGCTCAGTTGATAGAGCGATTGCCCCGATTTGGCGTGGTAACAGCTTCGTGTCCTGTCAGATCGAAGGAATTTTTTTAAATTTTTTTTTAAACGTTTATTTGTTACTACATTCACACGTACATAACAGAAAAAAAATAATAAAAAAGCACAAAAACACAAACAAAACAAAAAATAAACAAAAACAGCAGAGTCGCAGCACTGCTAGACACCCAGTTATGTACGTGTGCTGCAGCAGTGCAAAAAGGTCATAGCTCAGCGTCGGTGTTTACTCAAGAGCAAACCGCTGATTTTCAGCCATAACCTAGAGGTAATCGCGGATACGATAATCAGCTCGCTGACGTCATTTTTCCATTTAGTTATATTTAAACATATAATAATAATTAGAATAGAAACCAAATAAATAGGAAGATAATATAAGTATAATGTTTAAAAAATAAATTAAAAATATTAGTGATATAATTCAAATTATATATTGTAAGAGTACAATATACATATAAAAGAAAAATTAAGAAAAACAAGTGAAATACAGATATAAAAGAAAATTAAATTGTTAGTGGGTTAATCATGGTTTTAATACACAATATATGCAATAGGACTGGACTGGACTGCAATAGGCTGATGATTCTTCATGTTCAATTTTTATATTAATAACTATTAATTATAACACTAACATCATAATTATAATTATACATATAATTTGTTCCTGTGATAAAAGGGGTTTTGTGACTTTATTATACACAAATGATAGGATATTTTGTTTAACCAGATAGATAACTTACCCAAACAAAAGAATGAGAAGACAAATGGCAGGCAGATTGCTCTTGGCCACGAATACAGGGAACCCGAAAGCCTCGAACACAATCACCGTGATTATCATGTTTATTATGATTATCTGTAAATTAAAACAAAAACATCGCAGATTATCGGACCGTTAAGAATAAATAAAGGGCACGCATTCTATACAAATAAAATTTTGGTGAAATTACTAATAAGTGAAAAAGAATCATCAAAATCGGTTCACAAATACAAGAGTACCAGTGTAACACGCACACACAAGAAAATATATAGTCGAATCGAAAATCTCCTCCTTTTTTGAAGTCGGTCAACAATTTTATAAAAGGTATTAACGACTAATATCATTTTCTTGTTTCACTATGTCGACCCCTCCGACGTAAAGTATCGTATGTCGAAATTGCCAAGTTTACAGGGAAGCGTTTTAAAGTTCTGAATTCACTGAAACGAACATAACACGTGACTTTAGTATTTCTCAGTTTTATTCGGCAAAGCTCATTACTCACATAGAGTATTATAAAATTCTAGATATCGGTTAGATGATCAATGGTGGTCACTCTTTTTTAGTGAATTCAGAACTTTAAAACGGTTCCCTGTAAACTTGGCAATTTCGACATACGATACTTTACGTAGGAGGGGTCGATGTATAATTCAGAAAGTAGTACTTACAATCATATCTGCTGCCAACGCAGCGGTCCAGTACATGGCCGGCGTGACCCCGCACAGCAGCTGCAGGCGCTTCTCCTGCCGCTGCCGCGCGTTCACGAGGTACACTGCGGCGCCGGCGGAAACGAGGCAGTACCCGACCAGCACCAGTGCAGAGATGCCCGCATCGGCTACGTGCTGGTAGCTAGAAGATAATTTTTTTTTAATGTTCATTGAATATTACGATGATTTACTATAATTATTAATAACACGCATCGAACACTTAGAAAAATTCATTTGAACCAGCACCCCCAGGCAATCCGTGTCAGATGCTCTGCCAGTTAAGCCACGGAACGAACCAGCGGTCTTTGTCTTTGGTTTTTGTTTTCTCTCAATCATTCTCTTGAACAAAGAACTCGCAGAGTCTGATTGGCTACATTACAAAATTAAATACAAAACACTTAGTACAGCCTGGGAAATCAAAGTTCGGTATTTTTTTTATCAAGAGACGGGACGAACAAGTCGTGCGCCTGTTGTTAAGCGACACGCCTTTCCATAACAGTTGCAATGTCACTCGGAGAAACAAAAAAAAAACAAAATTTATTCTTATCACTCTCATGTCGCTCATGTGTCTCATCGCACATGAAATCAAATACTCATAACTCAAAAATGGTGGAATTCAGATAACACGATCTGAAAGTTTTCATTACTGAATGAACCAATTTTATATTCGCGTTCGTAAGTGGATAACTAATTATTATGTATATAAATAAAAATAATCTCATTACTTTAGTTTTTTTTTAAAATTTTCAAATCGTGTTTCCTCCATCGTATTTAATTTGTGCCTACCCGTGTCATATGAGGCTATGTTTGAAATAAAAAAATACCCGATGTTTTATCCCGGTTTACTATCACGGCTTATCACGCGTTAGATTAACCTGAATTTGATCCACACAAAGTTAATTTCGATACCTCCAACGAACACTACGCCAATTAATTAAAACAAAATAAAAACAGAACAGGTCCGAAAATTGGGACTTGTTTTGTTTTTATTTTGTTTTTTGTTTTTTTATTTTTGCGGCAAAATTAGTCTTTTACTTTTTCGAATTTTGTCTTTTGTTTCTTTTTTTTTTTCAACAAAATTCGAGGTGCATAATATTAGTAAATAAATACGACTGTTCACATAAATCATAGAAAATAACTAAAAAACAAAGTTGGCGTCCAATAAACATTGGAGGTATCGATTTGTTATCCTCGTGAGACTTTAACGACAAATCTAATTGGAACTCCGACAATACTTACACAGTATCCTTACTGATCTGTTCCTTCGATATCTTCAGTGGATGCGAGTAAACAGTTATATCGGCTTCTCTGTCTCCGGACAAGCTTTTGAACAAGGCGTTGTTCAACGCGTTGATGTATGCCGGCATCGCGTGGTGACCCTTGTTGTTGTACCACACCACTAGATGCGTTATATTGTTCTTCAACGAGGATGAGAAACCGCCATATCTGTAGTACAAAGTTTTAACGATAATAGCTGGTGATGATGGCTGTTCTTCACATAATAATAATAATAAATAATAATAAGCATTTATTTCAGACATAACAAATCCATAGATGACAAAAATTATGAATTTGAGAGGAGGGCGCCACCAGTGCGTACATAAACATCTTGTCAGAATATTTTTTGTTTTTTTAAATATTTATAGTCCATTTTGCATTTTAATTTTAATTTAGTCGTGATAATAGTATTGCAATAGTGCTGTGGAAGTGAAGTCTGGGACGTGTACGCTGTTGAAAGGAAGAAAATCAGTGAAACTTTTGACCAGTAACCGTTATGTCAAAGACCTAAGTTGTTAGGCAATGTTCCACATAATATTTTGCATTTACACTTTAAAAGTATATAAGAACTGTTTTGTGAAGTGTGCGAATAGCTGGCTAATTGATAGTACAAGTGCATTTTGATAAAATCAAAACAAATAAAATAATAACAGAAAGTTTGCGGGTATTAATTTTTACCAAAATAGCGACCAGCGCCATCTATTGTTGAGTAGTGGTACTTAAAACAACTTCTAAAGCGCGCCAAGTGAGGGCGGTAAAAGCACTATCGTTGAATAGCCATATCGCTTATAAATACCACCAGAGGGCGGTAAAGCACCACAAATACCAATAGGAAATCAAAACATGAGCCCTTCAAAGAACTGTGCTGGATGCAGAAAACCATTACCAAAAAGGGAATTCTTAATATGTATGCTATGCAAATCCGGCTATGACCTAGAGTGCGCTAACACCAGCTATAAACTTTTTAATTTGATGAAGCGAAAGGAGGAGTGGAAATGTCCAGAGTGTCTCTGTAGGCAGCCCAAAACGGGAAACGTAAATACCCCTATACGACAAAACGAAACAGATGTGGTTGCGCTTACAAAACACCAAAAAGGGTGTATAACACTGGACAATGAAGACAGCCTTCGTAACGTCACTCTCCGTACCAAGGGTTCACAATCAGCAGCTCAGATGGACCAAACAGCAGATGACAGTTATGAGGGCATCTCTCGGCACCCTGAAAGTGTTATGATCGCTGACCTGAAAAAGTACATGAACCACCTAATACACAGCGAGATGACTAGCCTACATGAAGCACTTACTAACCTAACAAACATTTGTACGGCACAGAGCACTAGAATTGAACAGTTAGAACAAAGAGTCGTGGCTCTGGAAAACAAGCAAGAAACACCATGCATGTGCGACATGTCGACTCTTCAGAGCAAGATCTCACATCTGGAAGCCGAAATCTCAGATAGAGACCAGGCCTTACTTAGTAACGATATTGAAATTTCAGGCTGTGCTGAGACACCGCGTGAAAACTGTACCCATATCGTACTCGCTATAGCAAAGAAGATCGGCGTAGAGTTAGACGAAAGGGATCTAGTGAGCGTAGAGAGGGCGGGCCCATTACGTCCACATGAGGAGAAAGGCTCTGTTCGGCCGCGACCACTCGTGGTGCGCGTTGCGCGCCGTGCTACGCGAGACGCAATGCTGCAAGCTGCGCGCGTACGCCGAAACCTTACCACTGAGGGGTTGCAACTGCCGGGCTCCATAAATCCCTTCTATGTGAACGAACGCCTAACAAAACATAATCGACTCTTATTCTGGAAAGCCAGACGATACGCGAAAGAGCAGAACTTTACTTACGTTTGGACACGCGATGGAAACATTTTTGTGCGTCGTAAACAGGGTGAGCCGAGACATCGTCTTCGATCGGAAGCGGATCTATTCAAGGTTTTTGAGAAGCTCAATGTTTGAACACAATTGGACTTTACACCGTTACTCATATGTACTTCTTTGCTATTATGCTAATTTTTATACCATAATTATACAGACTCAGAATGGTGATCTTACAGACACTCATACTCCATCACACCAAAACATAGAACCACAACATTGTACAATTACACTAACATTCTTACTCTGCAACCTACACTATAATATACACACATTAGTAGCTTGTAACTTGCGATTCAACAGTCATAAAATTATGTGCAATGGCTAACCCTGGGAAAAATAATTTGAGACTGGGAATACTAAACGCTCGATCTCTAAATACCGGTAATGATGAACTCACTGTTAGCTTTTTAAATTTTAAACCCGACGTCCTGGCCATTAATGAATCATGGTTGAAGGACGGAGAGGAGGCGTTAGCGCCTTCTATCCCATGCTACAGATTCCTACACAAACCACGTAAAGGTAGGAGAGGTGGTGGCGTAGGTTTCTATGTCAGACAGGAAATAGCAGCACGAGTGCGGCAGCACCCCGCATCTACACTCGAGCAGCTCTGGATTGAAGTTCAGTTACCGGGTGCTACTATGGCTCTCGGCACTGCGTACAGGCCTGAAAGTATAGCTGTGCCTGATTCATTGGATGGTCTCAGTGAATCATTGAATTCCATGTCCCGCTGTGACTACACTTGTATATTGAGTGACTTCAATATAAACCTTCTAGAGCAATCATCTCAAGCTACAGAATTTAAGTTGTTTTGCCACCAGCATAACTTGGAACAGGTAGTTAAGGAACCGACTAGAGTAACGGAAACTTCCGAATCGCTTTTAGACATTGTAATGACCGATAGTCCACATAAGTGTAAAAATGTGACAGTTGTACATAACAGATGTTTAAGTGACCATGCAATGGTTCTTGTTGATTTCGACATTAAAAAACCCAAAATTGTTAAACGTATAAAATACCAACGACTTTTAAATAACATTAACATAAACTTATTCAATAGTGCTCTTAATTCTATTCCGTGGTACACAATTACAAAATTGAACAATGTGGACGAAATGGTTAATACTTTTAATTCATATATTCTGCTGCTTTTCGACTTCCATGCCCCAGAGAAAAAAATCATTTTAAAAGAGAAGCCAAAGCCCTGGATTACAGAAACTCTTAAATACATGATGAGTTTACGTGATCAAGCGTTAGTAAGAACCCAATCATTTAAAATAAAATTGAGAGATAAACCCTCTATACCGTCGTTAGAAAGGAAAAGTAGAGCTTCAGAAGAATACTACCGCAGTCTCAGAAATCTTGTAACGGCTACTACTAAACGCGAGAAGAAAGCATATTACAATAATTTTATAAACATAAATTTTAAGAAGCCAAATTTACTATGGAAACATTTAAAAAATACCACCTTACCTGATATATTACGCACTACAATAATTCCTGAGCATTTAAATGACCCGGATAAACTAAATGACTACTTTCTAAGCCTGCCAACGTATAAGGAAACTGATTTAGAACAGACAGGTGATGCCGGGGGGTACACTTACGGTGTCTTTAACTTAAAATCAACATCTGAAACAGAGGTATTAAAAGTAATAAACAATATTAAAACAAATGCATCCGGTCACGATAATTTAAATATAGAGATGGTTAAGCTGACATTGGATGTGACTCTCCCGGTGATTACAGCCATAATAAACAGGTCGATCGAAACAAAAATCTTTCCGACAAGCTGGAAACGAGCTCTAGTTAGGCCTGTCCCCAAAAAAAAACTCGGTTGATCATGCAAAGGACTTACGTCCGATATCATTACTGCCAGTACTATCTAAAGTGTTGGAAAAGATAGTGCTTACGCAAGTTCTCAGTTACGTGGAAAGTGCGAACATCATACCGAAGTTTCAGTCAGGCTTTCGTAAGGGGCACGGCACTGAGACAGCATTGCTACACGTCACAGACGACCTGACGGTGGCGTCCGATAGAGGTCTGAGCTCTATCATGATACTTTTAGACTACTCTCGGGCTTTTGATTGTTTACATCCGGATCTACTACTAGCAAAGTTAAAATGCTATGGCTTTTCCCTCGGTGCGTGTAAATGGTTCAAATCATTCCTGACAAATAGAGAGCAGATGGTAGTCGTTAACGACAAAGATGGCTCAAGGAGGTTTTCGTCACTTAAATCGTTAGAGAGAGGTGTGCCCCAGGGCTCTCTACTAAGTCCGGTAATTTTCTCAATTTTTACTGCTGATCTTCCTGGGCACATAGAGACGTGTAAATATCACTTGTACGCGGATGATACTCAGCTCTATTACTCTTTTCATGGAAAAGATAGCGGAGAGGCAATCAGGAAAATTAATCATGATCTTCAAAAAGTTTATTCATGGTCAAAAAAGAATTGTCTTGTTTTAAATCCAGTTAAGTCCCAAACATTAATACTAGGTACCAAACTCCAGGTAAAGACAGTCCTCGAATGTGACGAAAAAATCAAAATTAATGACATCGAACTCGAGTTGGTAACCTCAGTGCGTAATCTCGGACTAGTCTTGGATAGTGAACAAAAATATGTAGAGCACATAAATATTAAAATTAGAAACGGTTTTTTCAAGTTAAAAATTCTTTATAAAATTAGACAATATCTTAAAGAGGATATTCGCCTTCTTTTGACGGACCTGTTTGTGTTATCGCCTCTTAATTATTGTGCTTCCGTTTATGGCCCTAGAATAAACAGCAATACCGAGAGAGCAATACAGCGAATACAGAATGCATGCATCCGTTTTTGCTATAATGTACCTAAAAGACAGCACATTACGCCATATCTCAATTCCAGATCAATCCTTAATATGAGCGCCAGAAGAGAACTACAATACGCCTGTACAATTCACAGAATAATCTGGAACAAAAAACCAGAATATCTTTTTGAGAAAGTTACCTGGAAAAAAGATTGCTTAAACCGGAACCTCCGCTCTGCCGCTCATAATAAGTTGAAGATTCAGGCACACAAATCAGCGCGATTTAGGGGATGTTTCAGATTTAATGCAGCAAAAATTTGGAACGATCTCCCCCCGCCTTTAAGGCATAAAATGACTGTGGACACTTTTAGAAATAAATATAAAACAGCATTAATTAAGAAGCAGGTTGCTGCAGAAAATCTGAAACACGCTTACTGGAAGTTGTTGCCATTGAAGGATTTCTTCCCTTAGATTACATACACAGAGATACAGACACCCCCACACACACCACACACGCACACACACACACACACACACTCACACACAGTCACACACATGCCTGGAATAGCAATAGGATTACCTAACCTGATTTCATTATATTTCGCTTGTTTTTTCTTTATTTTCTTTATTTTTTATGAAATTTATTGACTGATTTTATTACTAATATCAAAGAAAGTACATATATATGTTCGTATTAGATAAATAGTATGTTAGATTTAAATTGATAAATAATAGCCCTGTCCTCGATACTATTATCCCGCATTCCATCTAAGGGAGAAGGGGATGACTGAAAACCAGCGCTGCAACTGTCATCAACAGGCGCAGCATCAGCTGAGACATCTCCTTTTGCCTCCTATTTATTACGTCATTTAATATAAGTTTATTTGTCATTTAAGTTTTATTTATTATCGTTTTTTTTTTGTACAAGTTCTGTTTACATTGGAGGCAATAAAGAGATTTTATTATTATTATTATTATTATTATTATTAATTACTACTAAAAGTAATTAACAGATTATTAAATATACTAAATACGATAACTTATTAATATCTGCGAATTTTGCAGCAATAATTAGTATTGTCTAGCACTCTCTTTCTAAGAGAAGACACCCTCTTTCTATGCACAGCAGCAGAACTGTCCATACGTGCTAACAAAAACATGTGAGATGTTCTACAGTATTTTGGCAATTTAAACATGGCTCTAAAAATGTCATTAAATTGAACGTGGATGGCACTGTACGCTTGTTTGGTTACAATTAACCCACAGACTACAAGAATACAGGGTGTAATCGTTAAGAGTGCCCAGGTGATTATTCCATAAATATAAGATATATTAAAAAGTTTTAAACTGATATCGAAAGTACGTACTTACAATTCTAACCCGACATAATTAATCAAAATAATATTAAAAATATAAATTACTGTATGTACATAGACACTATGATAGAATCTAGTGCTAATGAAAAGGGTTGAACTTCAGCAATGAATAGGTTCCTACTTAAAATTACTTAATAATGTCTATACATTAGCTACCGCAATTACAAGACTTGATATACGTTACCTAACGTGTAAGTCGACATGAATAAATTTAAAAAATAAAACTAGAAATATCCAAAATGTTAACATTAAACGCTTCCATACATTTAATATGACATTCGTAGAGAGGATTTAGTTTTCCCTACTGTAAGAGGTGATTATAAGTTAACAGATGACAAAACTGCTATAAATAAGGAAATAAAACTATCTTTTAATTGAATAGAAATATAAAGGTAAAACTTTCACAAGGAGCTCTACTGCTATTTGTGTACCACATAAGACGTTTAAGAAGGAATAACTAATTAAATTAAAATTAAGTACACCTCCGTCACAAACTAGTGTACAGTCATATACACAAGATACCTGACCCCCCAAGCCGACTTGGTCGACCTTTTGGTTCTCAGACCTCTTGGTTTTAAAAATATGTTGATCGTCTTCAAGCAACACTCCACTGTATTGCTTACATTATAATGTTGAAATTGCTCTAATTTTTTTCTTTGTTCAATACGTAAGATGGCTCTCAGAACCGAAAAGTCGTTTTGAGCATGTTAGGGTTAGGTATCTCATGTATATGACTGTACTCCAAAAAGTTATCACCTGTAAACCAACTATTCGAGACCAATTCAACGAGTCCAAATTACCGATGCAGTGCACCTCTATTTAAAACCTCGCGTGTTGTAATGTTCACGCTATATAGCGTGATCGATATAATTTTAACGTAGCTTATTGGTCCTTGCTTCCATGACTTAACTACAGGGACCAATAAGAAACGAGGACTGCTAATCACGATACAAGATGTAGAAATAGCTATATAGCACCTATATTGGTACAGCAGATGTCGCGACGAGTAAAAAATAGTAATTTCTGTAACTTACTTATTTTTTATTGACAAGCTGCAATTTATCAAAACTACTCTAGATTTTACTGACAACAAACAATTCAACTAGATGGCGCATATTGCACATATTTTTTATGGATAATACCGGTTATTCTTTTATTTTGTTTAGGATTAGCGTCATCTATCCATATTAGGAAACGTTAATTTATAAATTAGTTTGTGATACACTGCTATCTATTGATACGCATATTTGTCAAAATTCGGAAAATGATTTTAGCTCCCGTTCAGTATTTGTAAATAATATTCCAACGAAAAACCACAGGCTTCTTATATTTCATATTAAAGAGAAATTATTTGATATCTAGGGCCATTTACAATAATATAAACCACTTCCAGGCTATTGTTCAGCGAAAGCATCTAGAAATAAGACGGAAATTCTATCGCCATATGTTCGGAAGATCATATTTAAAAAAAAATGTTACGTTCTTTATATACCTAAAGGGAGTGAGCCTGGTGATCTGTAACACAGGACCCCAACCTAGTAGAGACTCCAGCTCTCACTAAGGAACTTCTTATTACACATGAAATGTAACTACTTATAGATCTTTCTGAGGGAAATAAAGCATTTTGTATTGTATTGTATAATTATTTCATATTTCTCGACTTACCTTTTCTCAATAAAAGCGTCATGCGTCTTCAGAATCCAGTCGTTAAGGGTTTCGCTGTTCGGCAAGACCATCATGTCCGGTCTGTTCAAGTGTTGTTCGTTGAGCTCGCAGATTTGCTTCGTTTCGCCACACGTGCATTCCGGCGTGTCCTGTTAATTCGATATTAATACAGAACCTGCCCAGACGCTTTTACATCTTAAAAAACTTTGGCGCTATAGGATAGCCGGTATAGTCGGTAGTCCTATGTGGCTGTAATATCACCAGTACCCTTAACCCTTTAGAACCGCCTGGCGACAGAAATAAGGTGGCAGTATTTTCCTGGAGGAACTCTTTGACAAGGAGCTCTACTGCTACTTAAGTAACAGGTATTTATCTATTTCTGCCGCCTAGCAGTACTGTGAGCATTACTGCGTTCCGGTTTTGAAGGGTAAGGGTGCTGGTGAAATTACAGGCACATGGGACTTGTCAACTTATGTCTCAGGGTGACTCACGCAGTGGTAGTGCCTCTCAAATCTTTGCGATGTGCGCTCTGAGTGGCACTGCAACTATGGACAGGCGTGTCGCTTACCACCAGGTACACGACTTGTCCGTCTCGTCAATTCATATCATAAAAAAATATATATTTTACCGTAATACTCCAATTCCTCGCATCCATTCCGGATTGCAGTATGTCCATGATTCTTTGAGAGAACGCGGCATCCAAGGTGTTGCTGTTGTTGTATACCGATGGTTGTGGTCTGGAAAAATGAATCTTAACCATTAACAATCTGGATATAAATAAAGCCATTAAAATCCTCTAGCAGTAATTCACAGTGTAAGTGTTCACTATTTTATCAATTGAGTCGAAAGTATTGAAGCCAGAAAGGATTTTTCTAACCAAAGTACACATAAATAAATAATTTTTGGAATTTCGTCATTTAAGAAGATGAAAACGGTTATTAAAGTATATTATGCTCTCTTTGTCACTCATTAGAACACATTCAAGGGTGCGGGCAGTAAGACGTCTACGAAAAATTAGGACTTTCGTGACTAAATAATAAATTAATAGTAAAGGTTTTTACTTCTCCCTGTATTTTAAAGCAGTTACACCCTATCCGTGGCTATGGAACGTATCTGCGAAGTGGTAATTGTTTTTTGCAGTTTGTTGGACTTAATAGTCTGACTCTTTATAACTTTGACATTTAAGTAAAAAACACTTACACGAGATACTGCGTCGAGTTTCTATATAAATGCGGGTGGAGCCTCAAAGCGATCTCGTTGTCCGGCGGCGGCCGGATCAGAGAAAACGCCATCGCCGTCGTCACGAACAGCGACGGGAGTACGATTAGTAGGAATAACAGCCATCTACAAGTGAAACGACTTGATTAGTTGTTTTTTAGCTAGCTTTTAGTAGAGTAGAGCTTCTTTTGAAAGAGTACGTTCAAAGAAGTAACTGCTCACATTAATTCGATTCATTTTGGAGGGTAAAGGTGCCTGATCAAATTACAGACACATAGGACTTGTTGTGTGTCTTGTCTCAGTGTGGTGGTAAGTACCAATTATACCATTATTGATTACCCAATGGTATAACTAGGATAAACTAGTGCCACCTATACCATTACAGGTATAAATGG